TCCTCGTGTGTGTGTGTCGATCGTCTGGGCCTCTGGCGGCCTGGACCCGCCCCCCTCGCGCGCCTGTGCTCGCGCGCGCGCCCCGGCGATCGCGGCGGCAGCCCCGCCTCGACGCGCCCCGCCCCGCCCGAGCGCTACGGGGCAGCTTCGCGTCGCGTCGACCAGCGGCGACCCCGCCGCGGGCGTTCACGGTTGAGCGCTCCTCCTCCTCCTCCTCCTCCTCCTCCTCCTCCTCCTCCTCCTCCTCCTCCTCCTCCTTCCCCTCCCTCCTCCTGCTCCTCCTCCTCCTCTTCCTCCGCCTCCTCCTCCTCCTCCCTCTTGAAACGATCGGGCGATCGAAAAGCCGTCGATCGTTCAAGGTTGGGCGATCCACGCGGTGTCAGAAACCAACGCTGGGGTCGTCACGACACGAACTCGCCGTGCCGTTACACGGCGCCCAAGCCCCCCTTCCCTCTCTCTTCCGGATAACGACCGTTACCGGAAGCCAGAGAAGACAATCTCGTGGCGCGATAGGGGGGCGGCCTTCCCATGAGGCGGGGGGCTACAGAGAATCGAAGACGAGCAACAACTGCATACGCGTACACTTTCGGACGTCCGTGCGGATTTCCGAGCCGGGCGCTCCGCGCGCCGGGGAAGGGGGTCCAGCGCAGATCCAAGAAGTCCGCGCGGACCTCCGAGCCTATCTGCTTATGCTGCCTTTTCTTTCTGCAGAGATAGGCCGGGTGCTCCTGAGAAGGCAGGTGGCTCCTCAGATGGGCGTCCCATCCGCAGCCCGCTTCCTCCTCCTCCTCCTCCTCATCCGTCTCCCTCCTCCTCCTCCTCCTCCTCCTCCCTCCTCCGTCTCCCTCCTCCGCCCCGGGGGGGCCCCCAAGAGTGGGGTCGGGCTGTTCAGCCCTCTGGCGCAGGCGGGGAGCGCTGGACCTCCGGGGCGCCAAGCCCCCGCGCCCGGTGGGATGGCCGCCAAAGCGCGGTCCCCTTCCCCCGGGGGGCCGCCGGGTGCGCAGCCCCCAGCACGGCCGGGACCCCCTCCCCGGTTCGCCGTGTTGGGGTCGTGCCTGGTGGCCCGTCCTCCCCGTCGTGTCGTCGCCGTCGCTGTCGTGTCGTCCGTCGTGTCGTGGCCCGTTGGGGCAGGCCCGGGGTACCTAGGAACCGACCGACTCCCTCCCTGGCCGTTGGCCCCCGCGAGGCCGTGCCCGCGGGGGCCGGGGGAGGGGGTTTGTAGGTGACGGTACCTGGGCCTGCTCGGCCATAGGTGTGAGCGCGCCGGCGGCGCCCCAGGCGCGGCCCGTGGGGCGCCCGCGCGCGGGCCAACCGCGGCCCTGGCCAACTGTGGCCCCTCGTTCCTGCCCTTTTGGGACCGATGACGAACGTCTCCCTCCTCCTCCTCCTCCTCCTCCTCCTCCTCCTCCTCCCTCCTCCTCCTCCTCCTCCTCCTCCTCCTCCTCCTCCTCCTCCTCCTCCTCCTCCTCCTCCTCCTCCTCTCCTCCTCCTCCTCCTCCTCCTCCTCCTCCTCCTCCTCCTCCTCCTCCTCCTCCCTCCTTCCTGTGACGAAGTCACCGACCGAAGAGCTCGAAGAGCTCCTCCTCCTCCTCCCTCCTCCGTCTCCCTCCTCCTCCTCCTCCTCCTCCTCCTTCTCCTCCTCCTCCTCGCCTGAGTCCTAGGGGCCCTCGTCGTGCCCCAAGACCGTCGAAGAACGGCTCGGGACGAAGCGCGCCGTCCCCCGCGAGGGGGTCCGGACCTCTGGGGGGCCCACGTCGTGCACAAGCTCGCAGCGTCGGGGGTCTGCGACCCCTCGGGCGGACGGCCGCGGGAGGGCAACGTGCCCAGGGGGGGGGGGAAGTGGAGGACTGCGGGCTCGGCGCGGGAGTTGCTAAGGTTAAGTCGGCCACGTCCCTCTGCTGGAGGGAAAGTCAAAACTGGTCCACGCGTGGAAGGATTGTTCCACGATTCCCGGCAACTGTCCACACCCTCCTGCGTTGGGTGCTCGTTTCGAATAGAGCACAGAGCACTGCCCGCGCGTCTTCTCCTCCTTCCGCCTCCTGCCTCCTCTCCCCTCCTTTCCTGCCTCTCACCTCGCTCCTTCCTGCGTGCCAGCTTGCCTCCTACCTGGCAATCCCTGGGGGGCTGCGTTCTGCGCACCTGTTGCCATTTTCGAGGGCTGCTCGGGGGTCCAGCGGAGTCACGTCTTACCCGAATTCAAATGCGACCTCACCATCCCTGGGGACTGCGATCTGCGAAACCGTCGCAACTTTCGAAGGCTGCTGGGGGGTCCAGCGGAGTCACGTTGTACCAGGATTCAAATGAGACGTCGCCATCCCTGGGGGGCTGAGATTTGCGAAACCGTTGCCTCTTTCGATGGCTGCTGGGGGGAGAACGGGGGGTCCGGCGGAGTAGCGTCTTACCCACATTCAAGTGAGACTTCGCAATCCCTGGGGGGCTGTGATCTGCGAAACCGTCGCCACATTCGAGGGCTGCTGGGGGTTTCAGCGGAGTGACATCTTACCGAGATTCAGATGAGACCTCGCCATTCCTGGGGGGCGGCGATATGCGAAACCGTCGCTAATTTCGAGGGCTGCTGGGGGCCAGCGGAGTGACGTCTCACCCGGAATCAAATGAGACGTCGCCATCCCTAGATATGCGAAATCGTCGCAACTTTCGAGGGCTGCTGTGGGGTCCAGCGGAACGACGTCTTACCCAGATTCGGATGAGACCTCGCCGTCCCCCCGGCGTCGCCGAAAAAGACGACGCCGCGAGGTGGATCTGGGTGGGAGCGGCCGCAGACGGACACAAATCTCGCGCTTTTTTTTTTCAACGAAGAACCCCGCGCCGCCTGGCCGTGGATCTAGGCCACGGGGGGGCGCAGTCCCCGCCCGTGGGCAAGCTCGCAGGGGAGGTCTGCAGAGGAGGGCGCCTCAACAGCTGGTGACGGACAAGCAGCTGGGGGCCCGCCGACAGCGGGTCAGAGCGCGCAGCCCCCTGCAGAGGTGGTCTGCATCAGCGCTTGCTCTTCGACGGTTGCCGCTGCCAGCGCCCGAGCCGACCGCGAAGGAGGTGCGGCGGGGCGCCTGGCTGCCGCGGCGACCCGATGCCAAGTGCTGGCGGTCCTGCCGCGGCGGAGGGGCCGCGGGCGCCGCGGTCTCTGCGCGCTGTCTCGGCCGTGGCCACCTCGGCGCGGAAGACTGAGGTCCGGCCCCCGCTGGAACCCGAGGCCGCGCCCCCCGCCCGCCGATATGCACCCGCTGCTTGCGACGCTTGGGTGGGGTACCAGCTCGGAGTGCTCCTCCATGCCAACGGAGTGAGACCGAGCGTTAAGACATTGGTGAACGTCTTGCGGGAGGTCAATGGGGGGGCAGCGGCAACGCGGCCTGGCCGACCCAGAGGAACAGCTGCGCATAGTATCAGAAGCTGGGTCGCGACAGGGCCCATGCTGTGGATTGCGGCCCCGCGCTTCAACGTTTCCCGTCTCGGCAAACCATCGACTCGTTCGCCGTCGGCTTCGTCGCCGCCCCCGCCGCGGGCGATCCGCCAGCGCGCGCGAAGGCCGACGCGTCCCTCGCCCCGACTGTCATCGCGGACGCCGTCGCGGCGGCGCCGCTGGAGCGGTTGCGTCTGCTGACGCTCGACGAGTGGATGCGATGCCTGCTCGTCTGCGCGACCTCCGTTTGCAGACGAGTCCGCCAGGGCGGCCTGTTCGCGGCGCTTGCCGCGCCACCAACAGGCCCTTCGGCGCCCTGTTCGCACTGCGTGCGCATTGAGTTTTCTGCCAGCAGCGCGCCCGAGCGCGGTGACTGCGTTCCTGCCCTGCGTGTTTTTTGTTTTGTTGTTTGGGGGGGCGTCCCGGAGCGCCCCCCCGATGCGCCATAGGGCTGGATGCGTCGGCGCATAGCGGAAAAGGTGGAAGAATGAGCGGGCGTGGTAGGACCTAGTAGAAGCGAACAGAAGCGAATAGAAGCTCATCGGCGGACCGCATACTTAAAATCACTCTCAGGCCGATGACGCCTAACATGTTTTTCCAATCCGATTTTTGTCCCGTCTTTCAAAATGTTGCTCCTGGTGCAGCGCTGGCCCCATTTCTGCGCCTTTGGTTGTTCCATGACGTGCTCCCGCTGCAGCGCGGGCGTGTTCGGTCCTTACGTAGGCCCCAAACCTAAAAAATTACCCCCAGCAAAACACATCGCAAATGATTCCACATCCTGTACCGATTCGTTGAGTTTTCGGGCCGCAGAAGGCCCCCCCCATTTAGGGGCGGGGGCGTTTGGAGGAAGTATCAAGCGGGAGTTTCTGCTTTCAGAAGGCGGCGTTGCAAGCAGAGCCAGCGGGTGCTCTCCATCAGCACCGTTTTGCGGGGAGCATGCCGCGCAGCCCAGGGAGCAAAACATGGAACCGCGACTCCAGACCAGCCCCGACTCTGCGCAGACGATCCACTTACCCTCCAAGGAACCTGGTGCCCTGCCAAGACATGCTGTGCGGTGTTCTGTTCTGCACCGTTGTGCGATGACATGCTTTGCGTTGCAATGTTTTGTGATGCAATTCTTCGCTACGCAATGCCACGCCATGCTATTACATTATACGCTCTGTTGTGCTCTTCTACGCCATGCCATGCCGTGCTCTACGATGCATCGCGCAGCCTCTCGCGATCATTGCCCTGCTCGGCATCCGACTGTGCGAATAGAGAGGAGATCTACGCCATGGTAAAGGATGCGAAGGGAGGGGCAGGACGTCAGAAATGACGCGAGCGCACCTAGCTTGTCCTACTCCCCCTCTTTTTTTTGCTGGCATGGAGGTACTTGAATCCAGAAACCAACGCAGCACGTCATCTCCAACATAGGTGTACCATTTCAGCCAGTTGAACGATGTCAAGAAACATCCGAGTCCCGACAAGGGTGGCTCGGTCCCGAGCGGCCCTCCAAGTGGACCCCACACGGCCCCAGATGTTTCAACGGCGGCCCCAGAGGCCCCAGGCAAGCCCCAAGAGACCCCGAAGAGTTCCCAAGACGGGCCAAGGACGTCCCAAGATGGCCCCAAGAAGGCTACATAACGGTCCGTAGCCAAAATGGCGCAAGCCATTATGGCTCAAGCAGCGCCTGCGTCCTTGCTTCGGGGCCGCCACCAGGCCTAAGGGCGGTGAGCGCTGGGGCGCGCCCATCGACCATGGAGGCTGCCACCCAGATAGAGAGAACCCAGCGGAAAATGTTCGCCTCTGTGTGCGCCACTTGGTTCGTGTTGGGCGGCTGCGTTCTGCTCGTCCGCGTGGCCAAGCAGGAGAGGCACAAGTCGCGACGGTTGTCGGTGGTCTCGTACTTCGGCCAGCTGAGGGGACTGTGCAGGAGCTTAGCGCTGACCCTGGCTGGCGCAGTGTGCGGCCTCTCCGCGAAGCAGGTGGCCCAGGAGCTGCAAAAGAGGCGGCTGGCTCGCATGCGTGCCGCGATGCCCTATGCCTGCGTAAGCGTTGCATGCGTTTTTGGAAACGGTCTGTACTTGGCCGCCCATGGTGTCTCACGCCCGTTTTCCGTCGTACAGGATGTCTGTCAGTTTGTGGGCTGTTTCATCCTTCTCTTTCTTTGGGCGTTTCCTTCAAGCCTGACGTCCAGAACAGTGGATGTGTGGTTTTCCTTAGTGATGGCATGCGTTGTCCTGTGGGTCTCACCTTTAGCCTCACAAGGTTTTTTTTCAGGCCCCTCCATCATACTGCCTCTTGGTGGTACTTTGTCGATGTGCTTGCTCAACATGCACCACTTCGACTTCATATGGCTATGGCTCGTGTCTTTGTCAATGTGCAGCACGATATATCTCGGCGCCGCCAGCCCGCTGGAAGATTGTCTGACAGGACGGGGGGAGAGGGCTGGTCGGGTGCTGATGGCGACTGTTGTCCTCACCTTTTTTGTCGCGTGCTTGTACCATTCGTTCTACTTGGCCGTGTCGTGCGACATGGAAGCGAACGTGTCGCGGAACGAGCTGAAGGCCGCGCGCTCGGTGCTGCGGGGCGTCTGCGACGTCGTCGTGGAGCTTGACAGCGACTTCCGGCTGCAGGACGGGTGCCCTGAGCTGGCGGACCTTCTCCTGCTGAACCCGCGGCGCCCCCTCCTGGGCGAGGACCTGAGGCAGTTCCTGGCGTCCCAGCAGGACCGCAAGAAGTTCTCCGAGCAGTTGGGCAAGGTCTGGCTGCTGGGCGAGGATGAGGTCGGGCTCAGCGCGGCGTTCCACGTCTCCATGAAGGACAGCTCCAGCATACCCCTCGACGTCGAGGTGTTCTGCGTGCGCTTCGTCAACCGGGAGGGGCTGGCCGCGTACTTCGTGGGCGTCCGCGAGTTCACCGACACAGCCCCGATGGTGAGGGACAGCGCGTCGGAGAGGACGCGGCCTGGCGGCAGACTGCGCGGCCCGCCGAGCGCTTGCACGGCACACTTCATGCCCCCAGCCGCGCCTGCGGACTCCACGGCCCCGGCCTCCAGCCAGGCGTCCTCGGACGTGAGCTCCGAGTCCTGCTCGCTGGACGCGAGCTGGGAGGACCCGGGCGCCGAGGTGGAGCCCGTGGCCTGGGTCGACGTCCTCACCCCGAACTACTCCGTGAGGCTCGAGACCCCCGCGTTCACGGAGCACGTGGACGCCCGGGGCGAGCTGCTGACCGCCATGCGGCAGTCTCAACAGAGCGAGTTCGCAAGCTGGGCACAGGAGGCGTATTTTGCCCTCCTGGAGGAGGGCGCCGCTTCCGCCCACCAGCAGTACCACAGGCGGCTCCACTTCCGGTCCTTTGCGCAGCAGGGCTGCGCCCTCGGCCCGAGGCCGTCGAGGCGGCTGCCCTCGGCGCTCCTGCGGCTCGACCTGACGCGGCCGCCCGACGGCCAGGACCTCGGCCGCGGAGTGGTGCGCATCGTCCTCCAGGACATCCTGCTGGGCCAGCGACCCGCCCTCGCAGGCGGCGCGGCGCCGCCCGAAGCGGCGGGCGGCCCCGCGCAGCGCGAGGGCGCCGTGTCTCGGCCGCCCAGCTGTGGCCCCGCAGCGCAGCCTTCGCAGGCAGTGGGGCTGGGGAAAGCTGCTCGTAACCTGTGAGGCGCCAGGGCCGCCGACGCGCGGGCCGGCTGCAGCTCCGCCCAGCTCCAAGAGAGCAAGGGTTGCTCACAACTGTGCTCAGCCTCCGTGTCGCCGAGAGTCCCGACGCCTGGCCCAGGTCGGCGGCCAGGCCTGCTGTTCGCGGAGTTGGCGGAGTCATCTGCTCGCCCCGCCGTCCAGACCGATTTCTCGGCATATATCCTCCCTGGGTTCCCCCTGGGGCGCCACAGCAGCCCGCAGGTGTTGTTCCCCATCATCCGTTTATCCTGTCTCCCAGTCGTGAGATTGCATATTTTTCTCTCTAGTTCGCCCCTGGGGCGCCAAAGTTTCTCCTGTCTCCCAGTCGTGAGATAGCATTCTTCCTTTCAGTTAGCTGACGGAAGCCTCGGAAACGCCCGAGGCAACGATAGTGCCACGAGTTTCGGAGTGCAGCGCAACGATAGTGCCACGAGTTTCGGAGTGCATGCGCACTGTGCAAAAGCTTGCGCGGGGCGCATCGCGGGTCTTCGTGTCTCGTTGCCGTCGGGGGAGAACGTCTTGTGGTGTGCTACCTTGGACTGCGACGATCGGCCCCCTTTCGGCGAACCTAGATGGCTTCTCGCCCTATGGAAGTGATCTCTCGCCCCGCAGGCCCCTCAGTGTGGGAATGATACCGGAGAAAAACCCCAATCAGATTTATGTTGGGGCACCCGGCCACCCACGGGCACCCGGGCACCCGGGCACCCGGGCACCAGCCGCCAAAATCCTGGGGTACTGGGCACCCACGGGCACCTGGGCACCCGGGCACCTGGGCACCCGGCCACCGGCCACCAAATCGGCGCCCCACCTCACCTAACCACATGAATCCGCTAGGACCCCTACAGAGGCAAGCTCCGATTGGGGAATATCATAAAAAAGGATTCAGACAAGACCCCACTCGGATCCCAGTGAGAGCCCGAGAGAGAATTGTTGTCGCTTCGCGAATCCCCACCAGCCCATCCAGAAACGATGCCCAGAGGAATTGCCTCGATCAGAGAAGTGGGCAGCACACAGAGGAAGCCATTATGAGACATCTTGGGATATCTTGAGCCATCTTGGAGGTCATTTTGGGCTCTCCCAGACGCTCTTGGAGTCATCTTAATCCGTGCCCCCCCCCAAGAGGCCTCCATGTGGCTAAAACCTGTGTAGAATCAATGATTAGGCATTCTCGCCGAGGCCTCTTGGAGCATCTTGGGTGCATCTGGGGGGGCTCTTGGGGCCTCTTGGGGGTCTCTTGGGGGCCTCCGGGGGGCCTCTTGGGGGCCTCTTGGGGCCATTTTGGGGCCATCTTGGGACCTCTTGGGGCTTCCTGGGCGCTTCTTGGGGCCATCTTGGAGGAGATCGATCAAACAAGAGGGGGGGTTTAATTAGCGTCCCCCCTCGGAAGCCCCTAAAATCGCCTCTTGGACCCCTCTTGGAACGCTCTTGGAGTGCTCTTGGGCGCTCTTGGGGCCGTCTTGGGGCTCTTTTGGGGCTCTCTTGGGGCCCTCTTGGGCCATCTTGGAACCATCTCCAGGCCTCGGATGGCCATCGGAAGCGAAAAGGCGAGAAAGCAAAAATCATTGATTTTCCTTAGGTTTTGGGACGATTTTGGCCTCTTCGGGGCCTCCTTGGGGAGCTGTTTGGCCACTTGGAGTTATCTTGGGGCCGTCTTTGGGCTTCTTGGAACCATCTTAGGAGCCATCTCGAGCGATCTTGCGCTATCTTGAGCCATCTTGGAGCTCATCTTGGGTTCTCTGAGGCGCTCTTGGAGCCGTCTTGGGCCATCTGGGACGCTCTAACTACCCGCGGCCCCCCCCGTCCAGGTCCAGGGGAGGGGGTAGGGGGAGGGGTAAACCCCTCCCCAAGGGGGAAGAGGGAGGGGTGGAAGAGGATCTGCTCTAGACCACCTACGCCCAGAGGGCTGGTGGGATTGCAGCACGACGCCAGGGAGGAGGGCCCCATTCTCACAGGGGACTCTGACGGGGCAGCCTTGTCAATTTGGGGGGGGGGGGGCGCTACGCCTGAAGGACTCCAGCAGTAGTCTTGAGGATTCCTGAGACTTACTGGGCCCTGGAAACGACAGGGCCGTTTTCCGTTTTGCCATTTTTTGCCGGTTCCGACACCTTTTTGTTTACCGGTTCCGTCGCAGTTCTTTTACGAGTTCTTGCAGTTCCAATCCTGGAGCCGTTTTTGTTGCCGTTTCCGGTCGCCGTTTTTGTTGCCGTTTGCATTTTCAAGGGACATTTTTTCGTAAGCGGTGAAAAAACGGCCCGGCCGCTTCCGAGGCCCACTAAGCCTGAGACCCCCCGAGGAATTATGAATTTCACTGCAGGAGGGGAAAAATCACAAGACACAATGAATCACAGGCTCCCAGGAAACTATGGACAAAGTTATGGGAAGTGGTGGGCGGAAGACGAAAGCCCAGAACACCTGTGGGAAAATACAGGGAATCCTGGGGCTTGTGTCTATTGTGAAGGCCTGACGGCTGGTGCCGCCGACCCTGAAAGACATCGACCACGACCAGGAGGAGGAGGAGGAGGAGGAGGCAGTGATAAGGAGGAGGAGAAGGAGGAGGATGACCCCCCCTTCCTGGGACCCATCCTGGGGCTTGTGTCTGTTTGTTTGTGTGTCCCAGGGCCCCTTTTACTATTGGGGTGCCAGCGATCTCGCTCGGCGGTTCCCCCCCTCTCCCCCCCTCGGGAGTTGTTTTTTCGTACTTGTCGGTGCTTGGGTGCTAAGGGTACGTGGGGGGATCGATACAGGGTCCGGCTTAAATAAGGAACACTAATGTTTCCAAAGGGGCTCGGTCGTTCCTTTGGTTTGTATGCAATCCGCTACCTTTTTAGCGGCGAGCCCCCCTGGTGCTCCTTCAGATTTTGGACGCGCGGGTCCGCTCCTTCGGACTTCGTAGACTTACTTGGAAAAAAAGGGCTTCGCTCCTTATTTATCGTTCCTTAGGTCAAGCCGAATCCTGTAGTGGGTGTTCACGGTGGTTTCGGGTCGAACCGCCCCCCTGCGAAAATCATCATTCAAATTTTCCGTCTCTTCTCTGCGCTTCGAGCTCTCTCTCTCTCTCTTCGTTATTTTGTTTCATCTCTCTCTCTCTCTCTCTATTACTCTTACTCTCTCTCTCTCTCTTCCCCCCCTCTCAATCTCTCTCTCCTTCTCCCTCCGTACCTATCTCCCGGGCTGGGCGAATGCGTGCAAGACGGCTCAACAGATCCAAGCTGCCCCCCAGACGGCTCAAGATGCGCCAAAGACGGTCCCAGAGCTGCCCCAAGGGGGCCCCAAGGCAGCCAAAGAGGCCCCCAAATTGGTCCCAAAACGGCCCCACTTACAATATGGCTCGGGATGCCCTCAAGACGGCTCCCAAACGGCCCCCAACGATCCCCGAGACCGCATCTCTAGCATGAGTCTAAGAGGCTCGAAGACGGCCCAACGACGGCTGGAGGGGGCCTGGAAGCTTTTTCAGTAATGCGCCCGAGAAGCCAAAATCATCGAATTTGAGGCCCTGCCAGTGCGACCCAGAGGTTGCTTGGCCTTCGTTGTGCCATGTTTTGGCGCCAGATGCGTGGCCAGGAGGGAGGTGGGAGGAGGGGGGCGGCCTTCGATGCACCGTGGTAGTAATAGTAGTAGTAGTAGTAGTAGTAGTAGTAGTAGTAGTAGTAGTAGTAGTAGTAGAAGTAGTAGTAGTAGTAGTAGTAGTAGTAGTATAGTAGTAGTATAGTAGTAGTAAGTATTGTAGTAGTAGTAGTAGTATAGTAGTAAGTAGTAGTAAGTATATAGTAGTAGTAGT